ATATATATATATATATAAAAAACAAGAGAATAGCTACAACAATAATTTAATAATCAATATATAAATACCTTGTATATAGATCATAGAGATTCTTAAGATACTGTTCTGCATCTGATTTCCTGTGTTCTTCTAGCTGATCCTTCACATAACTCTGTAAAATTTGGGTACATCTGTTAGAAGATTAACTAACAATCACAGGTCATTACTTGCTATATGACATGTAATTTACTGCTAAGTGTGTATCTTCCTTAAGATAATTCATATAGTCTTTGTTTTTAAATCTCTAATTTACAGATGCTGCACTATCTACAGATAGAGTTAAATGCATTTTTTAGAAGAAAATTATTTCATAATACAGAGCAGTAGTGTGTGAAGCAAAGACAAAAGACAGATTGCTTTAAAAATATGCTTCACCAACAAACACAAAATTCCCTTTTCAAGAATCAAAAGCACTGGAGGCCTAGGGGCACTTCTGCAGTTGACAGCAAGCAAAGGAGATGCTTACATATTTGCTTATCATAATACATACACAAAGCAGATACAAGCTTAGAGCCTTCTTGTCACTGAATATTTGGACAAAAATATTATTTACCATAAAATATTAAGTCAAAACTGACACACAAATTTGGGGCTGAAACACACGCTCAATCTCTACACTATAAGAAGAATAACATCTACAGGGAAATTGCTTTTTGCAACTAAAAGTCATGTTGTTGACTTTACACACTTTAGTGAGTGTATCTGCAGGATGGAAAACTTAATATTTTCAACTATTCTAGACTTTCACATAAATATTGCATTAGCTGTGAGACAGTATTCAGAACGTAAGTTGTTTTCACTTATTCAATGCTAACCTCACACATGAAACCCAGTTCCAAGAATTAACAGATTAAAGATACTTATTAAATGTGAAACTTCTTTTCCTGACATATTCTTGGTAGGGGGCATACAGAAAAAAATCAAATATGCTTATGACCTCTTATAAATTACCCAGTGAACATACCGATTCCCTTATAATTTTACATATTGAATTTGAGTATTTTCAGTCACACTGTATTCAGAGCACAAGCAGCTTTATTTGATATAGGTTTGATTATCTGAATTGTTCCAGAGCAATCAGCTATGACTCTACATCCTTACACAAGATTACAAATATCGTACATTCTCATTTATTGTTATTACTAGATACAATATTTTTGGATGAAAATTTTCCTCAATGAACTTCAACATGTTAAAATTTGAAATACCTGAAGTTTAACTTCAAAAATATTTTGAATGAGTTTGGCTAACACGGTCTCGGGATTGCTAAAGACTTCTCCAACTTGCTTATTCACTCGCTGGCAAAGAATGGCTGCATCTTCAAAGACATCATTCCTCCGGAATGCACCCTAGGGTTTCAGAAGCACATTTCATAATACATTTACAACAACCTATAGGACTAAATAAACCAACAGCCAAAGAGATGTATGTAAAACAAAATGCATTACCTCTTGACACTGTTTTATGTACACATCAACGCAATGGGAATAGCCCTATGGAAGGAGCAAAACAACTCAGTGTTAAAGCAAGTTGTCCATGCTTTCAGTACAGAATGAAATCAAGGAAATACAACCCCCGTGAAAAAGTTATCCCCCCAAAAAAACCCAATAGATTCATCAAAAGTGTAGACTCTTTCAAACCCATTTTTGTCCCAAATCTAACATAACTTCACTTGTCACTACTTTACATGGATATACACCACAGGTTCCAACACTCTTACTCAAGCATGAAAGTTAAGTTCACACACATACAAGAAAATATTATCTTAGAACTGTCTCTACTGACACTGCCCCCAATCCCTCATGATCTGCCTCCTTTATTTTCCTGCATGTGATTTCAGATGGAACATCTCAGTATTTTTAAAGTGATAGATGTGATCTGATATGGTGGTTGTGGTCATACAAATATGTTCACTTAAAACAGGCATTTATAGTAACGCGAGTTGTTTTATTTATGTATTTAAATTAAAACCATCAGTTTTTACCTTAAAATGAAGCAAAACTGCTGCTACTTCTCTCATTCTGGAGATTTCACCTCTCCGCTGTGCACTGGTAAACTCTTGAATTAGCTGGCACTCTAAATCGTGGTACTTACCTAGAGAGGAAAGGGGATAACAACAAAAATCCACCAGGCAACGTAATACAAGCACCGACAAAAACTGTAATACTGGCAGTATTGCACGCTTCTTTAATCATCTTTAACAATTCAAAGATAGGAATATGGATTTAACTGGATAGATAACTTACTTGCTATCTTTGATTTTACTTCAGAAAACCTGTTAACAACAGAAAATACCACGATTAAATTCAAATCCACATCACAAATCACAGTTATCCTAGATCACGAGTAACAGGCACGCTACTTAAAAATGAAAACATGTAACACAAAGACGACAGAAATGTTACATGCTTTATATCCATAAAAACTTACAAGCATCTAATTCAAATCTAGCATTAAGTCAGCACAGCAAAATTATCCCATTAAAAGTCTGTTAAGCAGTTTAGGATGTGTATGTAAAGATGATCCTACAACATCAGTGCGTGAACACAAATTTGAGAACAGAGGAGAGAGAAATAAGCACACAATCCTTCTCAAAAGCTACATGAATCACTAAGTAAAGCACTAAAAAAGTAGACAAGGGAAGCATCAGAAAATTACAGCAACGTGAAGATTTTTTGGGTTTTTTTTAAAAGATGTTCAGATAGAATTTTACCTGTCAAAAGGCAGTTCCTGTGCAATCAAATGCAGTTTCTGAATAATATCAGCTGCCTCTTTAATCTGTTAATAGAAAACATGACAGAATCATTAAAGAAGGTCTCGTTGTGGGCTATTCCTTTCCTCCCCCTCCACTGTTCAACTTTCATACATGTAGTTCCTATTTCTAAAGCTGGTTAACTGGATATACCTGTGGAAGAGATCACCCTTTTAAAGTTCCTTTATGTACTTTTATGATGCTTAAGAGCTTTGTTTGTTTTTTTCAATCTCATGAAAATTTGCACCCTTCCATTTGGGAATAAAATACATAGCTGTAACACAGAGCTACCTGAACTGCTATATTATACTTTACAAGTGACTAGGACAAGAGTCTTACTGACTCACACCCAACCAGAAGGGATGTGTTGAACTCAGAAGTGAAGTGTCTAGGAACCTTGTCAGACATGTCAGGAAAAGTACTGGGGAATTCTTTGCACTCGATGAAATTAGTTGTAAAGCTGTATCCAAAAAAGCCATGACACTGCTCAGCTCAGAGAGGGGAGGAAGGTGAAAAAGGGGATCAAAACAGCATAGTTGGGGTACCTCACATTCTCCCAAGGAAGGAAAAATGGAAGTTGTATTAGAAATTATAAACTCTGAGTCCCAAAGCAAAATCAAGATGAACATTAGTTAATCATGCATCTACAAAATATGCATGGTTGCATGAATACAAAAGCTAACAAATAAAGTTAATGCAGCATGCAAATTTCTGCTCTGTCCTGGACAGCAAAACCTTTTATCATTTATTCTTTCACAATCCATCAGCATGGGAACTGCACCTATGTAGCACTTAGTGACCGTTTCAAACACCAATTTAAAAATGTGGGGCATGCAGCTGGTTCCAACTGCAGTTCAGAGGATTTAAGCACACAGTGGTGACTGTCCCAAACTGCACCCAGCTCTGGGGTGGTTTTACAGGTTTTATTTTCACAGAATCACAGACTGGTTTGGGTGGGAAGGGACCTTTCAAGGCCATCTAGTCCAACCCCCCTGCAGTGAGCAGGAACATCTTCAACCACATCAGGTTGCTCAGAGCCCCAGCCAACCTGACCTTGAATGTTTCCAGGGATGGGACATCTACCAGCTCTCTGGGCAACCTGGGCCAGGGTTTCACCACCCTCAGTGTGAAAAAATTTCTTCCTTATATCTAGTCTGAATCTCCCATCTTTAAGATTAAAACCATTCCCCGTTGACCCTGCTCCAAAACTACTGCTCCTAATGTGGATATTTTGATGGCTTGGTGACTGGAAGGTACCTCAAAGTGGGCGATAAAAGCTCTAGCTACTACACTGAAGCAAAAGCTATATAAGCTTATACAACAGAGAACATGGAGAATGTGCAGTTTATCTTGTTCTTCCTGTTAGTCATATTCCAGGGAACTGGAGTGAGAGGAAAGGAAGTAATGAAATCCTGTTCTCCCATCACTTAAGAGTTGGTTGGGATTCAAACTTTTCAAGAATAGAACAAGAAACACAGGTAAGAACACAGAGCACAAGCATGATGCTATGTTGGTCATTCAGCAAAAACAGGGGCTCTCATAAAGTAGATCCATTCTGCTTATTAAGAGCAGCTTATGTTTTGAACTGTCAGCTTACAATAGCCTCTTAAGTCAAAAGCAGCTACGCTCCTCAGATAAATCCAATGAAACAGCAGTTATTTCTGTTAGCTTACAGCAACCTTAATACCCAACAATCGTGATCATTACTGATGTCATTAGAACAGCCTATATATTACCAGATACTCACTGATGTTACCAAAAAAAGAAAGAACAAAACACCTCACAAACACAACATTTTCTTTGTCTCCTCTTCACACAATAGCTGTTAACTAACTTAAGATTTTATTGAATTCAGGGCCTTTACTTATGCACAACAGAAGCCATGACAAATCAGTTCTCCATGGTTTCTGCTTAAATCCGGACATATTTCATTTTAATTGAATCAGGCTTCTGTAAACTATTAAATCAAAATAAATATAGATTCTGTAAAACACTTGATTCTGTAAACTACTTAAAGGGCTATAACACAACTGGAAAAAAATCTGGAAAATAATGGACAAACAATAGGAAGAGAGAATTTCAACATAAAATATCTTTATGAACAAGTTAAAAAGGCATAATGGAATAATGTTGAGTACAGAACATAAGTGGAGAAAAGGACATAGGAATAATAGTGAAAATATTAAACACAAGACAAAGGTACTGTATGATAAACAAGTGAGCTACTATATTATTTTGACAGTTTAATTGTCTTAACTGGAGTGATTTGTTCACTTCAAGACTCTTCAGTACAGGAAAAGGACTGGTTAGCTGGCGATGCACAGGAAATTGTAAGGATTCAGAGGATGAAGACACACAATACATAGCATGGGACAAGACAGCAAGGAAAAACCTTCACAGAAATGGTAAGTTAGAAATTGCTCAGTGTAACGTGTAAGTAATGTGGGAAGCAACAACTTGAGTGTAGGAAATAAAAAGGAATCCAGCAGATTTTAAGAACTGACACTACTGAGAAAAATATGAATTCCCTAGGAAACAGTTGCATTACAATTCCTTTCTTGCCTCTCCTTTCACAGTATCCTCTGCCCTCAATGTCTCAAAAACCCACGCTTGTGAGGGATGGCAATGTACAAAAAATCATAATATCCTCCAAAAAACTATCTTAAAGCCACATCATTTCAAAGATCAGAAGACACTGACAAAGCATTAAGGTTTTACATTTAAGAATATTTGTTAATACCTCATACTTTGGAACTATTTTTAGTTCAAAGATGCCTTAAGATGTGATAGCACATGTCTAGGCAGGTATTTTTACAAACACTACTTCTACTTACTATTTAAACTAGGAGGCAAAAAGTTACAGAACAGTACTAACCCACCTTCACTGAAATTAATCTCTAAGATAACTTGTATCCAGAAAATCTTGTTTGTGTTCTCACACACCTCCTCTGCAGACTTCTGGCCTTCACTGCATCTGTCTTCCACCAGATTTGCTAAATATCTTATTATTTTCAAGGGTGTATAAAGATTATTTTGTTTCCCAATTTCCAGGTTTACCCTATTTATCTACCAGTTTTTTTCAGATCCTCCAACAGAAAGTATTAAGAAACTTTAAGTTATAAGTGAAACTTGAATTCTGTATGAGACCCTTCAGCAGACAACACATAATTCTCTTTTAACTTATGCTTTGTTATTTACCATGTTGCCACTGAATATTTTTAACACACATGTTTTAGTTCTACTTAGGAATGAAAAAAAATTAAAATAAAAACTTATGCAGATCTCAAAAAGGCTGCCCATAGAAGAACTCTTGCTATGTTGGAACTTTTCTGTTTTCCTTGGGAGTCAGAGACGTTTCTACATGCTCACTCTTTGATTAGAGCAAACTATCAACTGGTAATTAACATATATCCACAGACCAGGAACCAAAAGTCACTACACAACTGACTTCTTGGGAATACAACTATATGAAAATATTAGTTTTTAATTTCCCCGAGAGAGAACTTTAGCTCAGTAGAGAGGGGACAACTATTAACCTATTCTTGGGTCCTTTATAAGCTGCATTTCAAGTACATATTTTTTGCTGAATGTGCAAAACAAGTTTTTGCCATTCCCACATACTGTAATTTTTTCCTGACTACAATCATACCACTGCAGAGAATTCAAGGAGAGTGGGAAGATTCTGCAGGGGACACTTCAAAAAAAACAAAACAAAACAAAAAACCCAAAAAACACCAAAACCAACAACTTTACTTATCTTCCAAACTGCATAGGGAAATCTATTATGTGCCCTTTTGTTTACAGCTGGACTTCTCCTTCAGTTTATTTCTATTATCCACACCATTCAGATTATATTTGCTTCATGAACATACTCTTGAAGCATAAAAAAAAAACCCAAAATGCTTTAAGGTTTCTTTGAAGTTTTCCTGCCTGGTTCCTCTAAATTCGGAGGGTGGAGACATAGCCACAGGACTATACAAAGCCCAAAGGCATGCTGTGACAAAAAGGTATCCAAGGCCAGTGGACTGACCCAACAGAGTGAAGTTTCACAAAGAAGTTGTATTCAGAAACATTGTGCATTACAGGGTGGATCTGAGGCAAGGGGTTCAAAGGAAAAAGGCAGATATCATGTGTGCTCTAAAGTTGCCCTCCCAGCATTTCCCAAATCTGTGATAATTTCATAAAATGAAAAATGCCAACATTGCCACATTAAGCATCCACTGAATATAAATGCTTTATCAGCAATCTGCAGCCTAGTGTTGTTAATTTACATTTCAGAACAATGAAACTTTAACAAGTCAGTCACTCACTGGTTTGAAGTCTGACCATGGTAAGTCATGGTAGCAGCTTGTAATTAGGGCAGTACTGCTTATTGCTTTGAACTGCTTTCATCCCGCTGACAGCTCTTACCTTTTCAGAGTTTGTAAAAACATCAGACTTCAGCTCTCCATCCAGAAACTCATTAAAGTATTTCATCAGCTTCTGAGCCTCCACAGCCCGTTGCCGTGGCGTGTTTACCCCCTCCAGTTGGTCGCCAAGGTGACAGACCTTAGTTGCTACATAGCTGATGTGCTCATCTAGTTCTTGGAAATGTTGGAAGGCAACCTGGGAGAACATAGACACAGACACAAAACTCATGATTTCCATTTACTGCATGTTAGGAAACACTAGATTTACTTCAGTAAGAAGCAGACCAAAAGCAGGGATCATCTTTCCAGGTGCTGTATCTCAGACCTACTCAGAACTGCTAATTAAGTAAACACAACTGTTTGAAGTTTAGTGTCTTCCTTTAAACTACTGTGAAGACTCAATAGTTTCAGAATAGCTAACACTCATTAATGGAACATGCAGATAAACCTCCTTTGACAGGGGAAATTGTTTTCCATCAAACCCTCTTCATTTTTAGCTCAAATAGTAGCACATTGTACCAAGAAATGTTAATAGAGCATGTGACACTTAAAACTTGCACAGCTTAGCACTGACTTTACTCTTCAGATTTTACCTGGTTGCTTTTCTGCAGCTCTTGTACTTTCTTGGCAAATTCCTTTGCTTCCTTCTGGCACTGTTGTTCTAGTTTCTCCACCTTTCTCTGAATCCTTTCATCCATTACCTGTAATTCTTGGATATGATTTACAAATTCTTCCAATAATCTGATTTAAAATAAAATACAGTAAAGCAGACTTAGTTTAAAAGACATTGTCTTCTGCAGAGAGCTTAAAAAAAATCTCAAAGAAAAGAACTTGCCTACAAGGCTGGTATAATCATGCCTAACTTAGGAATGCTATTTTGTTTTCAACCATACTACCCTGGTTGTGTAGAACTCCATACCTACATAAAAACTATGAGATCATGTAAACAGTAGGCTGGGGGAGAGGGGAATAGCTAAATAGCAATCAAGCAAAAATGTGGCTCTGCCACAGGTACAAAAATTCCTATATCCTCATCTTCCCTCAATAAGTCATCGGGGCAAAGAGAGTTTAAGCCACTACATCCCTTCAATGTAAGGGCTATAACAGGAAAATATTTTCTACTGTACATGTTACTGTAAACTTGTAAATCAGCATTCCTAATAATAGGCAATGAATACAATCACACAGGCTCATAACACTCTTTTCATTATAACCATGTTGCTTCCTGACTTCACTTTTCTTCCTATAACATACACCATTTTAATTTTTTTTCTGCCCATCACTTTGTTTTTATTTTCAGATACACATTTTCTCTTCCCAAACATGATATATCTGAAGGTATTTTTAATTTCCTCTATTCTTTTTCATTCTCAATGTCTCTCTTTCTCATTCCTGTTTTTGTCCATTCTAACCATTTCCAGTCATCTTCTCAGCTTATACTTTTCTAAACATCCCAGTCACTGATACTCAGGGAATGGATTATTCCCAGATCCTCCACAGCCATAAAACTCATGCTAATCACTGAAAACACATGAAAGATTTGAAAACTCTGCTGTCCAGGTTTAATGTCAAAGCAGAAGAGGAGAGAAATGGGAATTCCTTCCAGGGAGCTATTTCTAGACTACTCAGGAATCTGCATTTTCACATATACCCTTGTTCAGAAGCTAAACTGTGAACATGCAGCCCTTCCAACCTGCAGTGCTGCTGAAGCACAGAACGAGCGTGCTGCTCCTCTCCTGGCTCTCCATGCACAGGCTAAAAACTCTCAGCAACCAGAAGGGAAAAGCAGAACATTTTATTCTACCCTCACACAACTCCTTCCCAGTAACAACTACAGAATCTCTCTTGGTCAACATCTAGAGCTTTCTCCAAGCAACACCTAAATAATCCTAATGTGATTCTCCTTAGTTGCTTGAGGGTCACTGAATTTTCAGATTTAACTTCTGCTGCTAAAGCGACCAGTTTTTACACTGCTGCTTGGAGCATGTGAACTGCATTTTTGCTCACTGTATTGGTCAAAAAACCTATTTCAAGTGGTATCTTTACAACAGTCAGTGACTTAAAGGCATAACCTTCTTTTATCCACGCCCTGCTTACCAGAAACCCAAGAATAAGCATGTTGCATTAAATTCCACAGAAAACCACAAGGAACAGACTTAAGTTTACTGCAGTATTTTTAAAATAAAACATAAATGATAGTAAGTGACAGAAAGCACACTTTTAAACAAAAGCCTAGAGAAGTCCTGATAGTTTCTATTCACTTTAACAAGGACTCAGTCCAGTTTGTGGGGTTTTTTGTTTGTTTTTTTTAAGCAAATGCTGTGCCAACTCAGTACTTATTCAGCAACAGTATTCAATACAGTGAGAGAGGAAAGAACGTTCAAGTAGAAGAGGTAGCTGCTGGCCAGGTTTCTCAGAACAGAAATAAAGACTCCAGCATTCTTCCCACCAAACAAAAGCATCACAGAATCACAGACTGGTTTGGGCTGGAAGGGACCTTAAAGCTCATCCAGTTCCAACCCACCTGCCATCAGCAGGGACACCTCCCACTACACCAGGCTGCTCAAAGTCCCATCCAACCTGGCCTTGAACAAGCTTATGATCTATCATCTTGTAAAAACAAAAAAAAACCATATACCAAATGGTCTGTTTCTTTTTGATATTAGTTTTGGCTCCCTGCCCAATACTAGAAGATCCCACAAGAAAAATATTTACTGTTGTAGGATCTTCTCACTTGTCCTGAAAAACAGGAAAGTGCATCACAGAAGTTAACATAAGCAAACCAGCACAAATAGAGAAGACAGGTTAACCTGAGCTGGTATTGGGTACAAATCATTAACTACTCTAAGGTATATACCAGGCACAACTGCAGAGAAAGAGCTCCAGAAAGCAATGTTGTGTATTTCCAGGCTTCTTCCTGCTTAAGTCACACAAAGCTCTGCACAGGACACAGGCCCCAGACTGAACCTCAAGGGCTCAGCATCTTGCTAGAACTCCAACAATAGCCTTCCTCTTCTTCAAAGCCTCCAAAGATCCAGACTGCTCCAGAAGAAACATCCTTTGACCATGCTAATGAAGGTTTTGTATTTGCTTTTGAATAACAACAGCTTGTCCATGAAGTTAGTAATTCCTAAATTTCTTAAAGTGTTCTAGTTCAGGTTACTACAAACAATCATAATCTGGAATAAGATCATGTGGATAAGAAGTGACTGAGGAACAGCTACTGCACTTTGAATTTATACCACCATAATTTAAATTAACTTTCAGGTATCTAAACTTTTTGTTGACCCTGCTAGCTCAACAGCATCCCAATAACCATAACAGGAAGGTCAAGCTCATCTCCCAAGTTATAATCAAGTGAAAAACAAAAACACTTAATTAAATCTCTAGAAAGACTACCAATGCTGGTACAAAAACTAAAAAGTTTGGAGGACAGAAGCACAGACGTTGAACACTGCTGTTTAAAACTGTGCATCTGACTTACCAAGGCACCACTGGATGCTTGCCCCGTAACCAGAGAGCTGGCTTCTTAGGGTGACGCTTCTCAATGGAGCCAAGCAAGCTCACCACAAAAAAGAGAAGGTCCTCACCACCTCCTCCTTCCCCATTAACTTAGCCTTGCTCTTTCCACACCTACATTTGTCCTCGCCAACAGTTCACAGACACACAACCTCTTCCCTTTGTACCTGCTTCCAGGCTCTTCCAGTCACCCAAAATTGCTCACAAAACTAGAAAAAAAAGTTGGTTTTGTTTTTTTTTTCTTGTCAGATTAGTTTTCTGACATTTTAGTGAGTTAGATTAGCTTACCATGAAATGATGTGCCTAGAGCTAGCTCAAGATGAGCCATCACAGTGGGCAGCTAAGAGCAAGGAAGAGGGCCACAAGTCCATCTCCATTCAGTAGCAGCAAGCTGTTCATATCACCCAAACTCAGTTTAAAATAATCTAAGTCAACATTGCCGTGTTCCTACCTTTCTTCCCATCCTACCTGTTTGTGCCCTTTATTTGCACCAGGACTGTAAACCACTGGGGCTTACAACAAGCCAACTCAGGGAGCTAAACTAGCAAGAAATTCATTAAACTGACTTAACTATCATAACAGTGAAGTCTCCTATGATGCTGTAATCCCGTAACTCTGGTGCTTTGGAACATTCATTGACAGAACAAGGGGAAACGGCTTTAAACTAAAAGAGGGGAGGGTTTAGATTTGATATTAGGAAGAAATTCTTCACTGTGAAGGTGGTGAGACGCTGGTCCAGGTTACCCAGGGAAGTTGTGGCTGCTCCTCCCTGGAAGCGTTCAAGGCCAGGCTGGATGAGGCTTTGAGCAACCTGGTCTAGTGGAAGGTGTCCCTGCTGATGGCAGGGGGGTTGGAACTGGATGATCTCTAAGGTCCCTTCCAACCCAAACCACTCTATGATATGATTCATGTCTGACAAGGACAAACAACATCAATTCTCCTTCATTCAAAAGGTCTAAATCAGAAAGTGACTTGCCCTACTCTTCTTCCTGAATAATTGGTTCTGAATAATTGGCTCATGGTCACAAATTCTAGCAATTGTCCCAAATGAAAACCTCCTTGGACACACACCAACACCACATACAGGTTTTTTGTTATATATGTAATAAACCAGTACAATTAGAGATACATTCACTCTGACCATTATGCAATTTTATTTTACCTTTTTGGATCAAAAGCTTCTCCACCTCTGGAACCTCCTCCAGGTGTTCTCCATGCCAGCCGTTCAATGTATTCATCTGCCACAAAAGGCTCCTAGTCACAGAATAAAAACTCCTTACAATGTGCCACAGCAGGTTGTTCCTTAGGCAGCTGCGTACACATCCTTTGGAAAGTGGTTAGAAGCTTTAACACAATCAAGAGCAAGTAGAACGTTGACAATTACCCCGTCACCTCTTCTATTTACATATTCAATATAGAGAACACATTCTTAATATGGTAGGTTTGAATATCTACTCTAGAGATTGCCAGACTATTAGCAAAAAATTTGCTGCAGGTCTGTGAAGAGTTGGCTTTAAATTACCTGTCCTTATTTCCAGGTGAGCTCATGGCTTCTCATTACAAAGTGTTTAAACCACGCAGCAGCTACACTGATTTGAGACACTACATTACAAGACCCATCCGTCAGCTGTGCAGCGAAACAGACAGAACTGATCTGTATAAAAAATTACATGGCAAAATAAGTTTTCTTTGCAGTTGCTCAAAACTCTGATGCAGTTCAGAACATGGCATCACAAAAAGAACCAACCAAGGCACTGCCCTGTGGCAAAAAACAGCACAAAATTGTCACTGGGCACTATGCAACATCAAACTGCAGAAAGAAAGCAGATAGAAAGGAAAAAAAAAAACAAAGCAAGTGTAAAAACAGATGATGGACTTTACTTTCCCAAGAAGAAAGAACAGGGCATGAGTGATACTAAAAACACAAGGTTACTCAAGTTTCTTCCATAACATTTGCTGGATCTTCCACATTTGCTGGATCTTCCATAAAAATACTGCACAATGGTGAAGAGTTAAGATGATTTTTCTACCCAACAACGTTTTCTGAAGGTAGAGACCTCATTGTAAAACCAAAAACTCTTATTTTAGTTGGCCTAATGCTGAAACCAACTCAAACATTTATTCACAGCGTTAATAGTAAATACCCAAAACACAGCCCAACACCTATCCTTTAAGAAAAAATAAAATAGTATTTATCAATTCAGCTTTATTGGTAGTCTAGCAGCATTGTTTAGGTGCTAACATCAGCACATCTGAGATCAGTAAGCAAAGTATTCTCACAGCCACCAGGATTTCACAGAAAGCTTTTAAATTACACGCAACAATGGTTCTAAAACTGTGAAACACACACAACACAGAGCTGGGAGAGGCTCTGGTTAATAGTGGTATTTGCCACAACTCATTTCTGATAATGAAACATACAAACATGCCACCATTCCTTTTGATAAAGCTTGGTTAAAAAAAAACAAAACAACCCCAAAACCAGAGCTCTACAGGTCCCAAAATGGTTCCTGTATCAACAGGTCTAAAACTCTGTCAGAAAGAATAAGGAAGGAAAAAAAAACAGCATTATTGAATTATTTTAATAATGAAATACAAGGGTTGGAAAGCAAATATTGCCAGTTCAAGGTCTGTCATTCCTCAAAAACACATTATGCCCTATCTAGTCAGGCCCAGCTATTAAACAGAAAGATAAAAGTTTATTTAAATTATACTTCACAACATGCTGAATCCTGCTAGATAGGACAGAAGTTTCACCCTTTCAGCAGATCACCCAGTAACTCCTCATTCAAAGACTGACTAGAGTAACTGTTTTCCTCAGCCTCCTTGGTTAAGCTGCAAAAATAACTGGATGATAAGACACAAAAACCATTTATCTACAAATCATTCACCTCTTTAACCCAATTCTTCCTGAAACACAACGTTATGAATCCTTTTCATCAGAAGTTATAACGTGGTGTTTTCATACCAATATATAAGTTCTGTCCTTACGTCATCTTTACATCTAAATGGTTGGGAACATCTTTGCAATTTTAATTCTAGGTGAAATGAGCCATTCAATACAGTAACATTCCCCTCAGAGGAGTCCTCCAGCTTCCTCATCACGTTACAGCTCTTTGCAGCGCTTCTCCTTCAGATGAAAAATCACAACCACAATCTTTCCTCTGAAGATCCCCTAATTCAGCTGGAGTATCACTCTAGTCACAAGGACACCAGCATACAGTGCTGTGGAAGAACCCCAAATAAAAGGTGCACTGTCTACTTATATAACATTTTCGACATTTCTCCCTTCCTTCAGATGTTTGCTCTAAAAAATAATTCACTAACACACACATAATGACCTTGAATTCTTTTTAAAAATTAAAATGCCAATCTTGAATTCTTCACTGTGAGGGTGGAGAGACACTGGCACAGGTTGCCCAGAGAAGCTGTGGCTGCTCCTCCCTGGAAGTGTTCAAGGCCAGGTTGGATGAGGCTTTGAGCAACCTGGTCTAGTGGAAGGTGTCCCTGGTGATGGCAGGGGGGTTGGAACTGGATGAGCTTTAAAGTCCCTTCCAACCCAAACCATTCTGATTCTATGATTATGCCTCTGTACTCCTCTAAAGCTCCCCTGAGTGCACATGTACACAGAGTACCCACATCCCAAAAACTATACAAGCACACGGCAACACACACTGTGGTTTGACCTCAGACTTGGTGCCACCTGACCAGCCACGAGGCCAAACTGAACCAGCAGCAGCCCAGTCCCCTCCGCTGCCCTTCCCACAGCGCGGACACTCACGTGCATCCCCCCGTTCCACAATGCTCACCCCATCTCCCAGTCTGCCTCTCTCTACAACATTTGCTATTCTGCCAAAATTATAAACCTACATTTTGCTTTAACAATTTGACACATTGGCAAAGGTGTTAATTAGTTTATTTAGACCTAAATGATGGCAGAATCACTGCTACAAGCAGATGCAGTAGTACTTCAAAAGGGCATAACCTGGAAAATATCTGCTTTTTAATAATACTTACAGAGGAGACCTGGCTTTCAGTTTTTCAATCATATAAACCCTGTTCTGTATTATTTAAGAAACAGTAACTGCAGGGGATATTATTACGTGCAGAATACTGACCAACAGAGAAACAAAATGAGTTTTTCCTTCCAAGTTTTCACAAAGGCTGTGCTAAAAAAAATCTACTTGCTTTATAAAGAATAAATGAAGTTCAACAGTGTCTTTTTAAGACATGATTTCACAGGTTCCACTGCAAATCTAAAATTTTTTCATTTTGTTTGTTTATCATATCTTCCATATACATTTGCTCTTTTTAATGCTGTCTTGATAACGGGGTTACTTAGACAGTTCAATTTCTATTTTAAGTCTCCTACCCAGTTCTGCAGAAATTGCTGAAAATCAGCTATTACAAATGCCATTTGCAAGTCCTCTGCCTGTTATCAGATGAGCTCCAACAGTCAATTTCTTCACAGCTTTGAACTTCCCTCTAGCTCTAGATGAATTATTGTGATCCTAGCCATTCAGCCAATACTACTGATTTAATAAGAGATACGCCTGAAGTAGATGATAACCTGGTTTGATCTGGTCTGTATAAAAGAAACTAAATTGTACCTAGACACATTAAAATCCAGTTTATAAGTAATTATTGTTAAATTACACTTGGAGTTGTATGAGGGAGAACTGAGTCCACGTTGTGTCCATTTTCAGCACAGATCCTTCTACACAAAGTCACATATTTATACTGAAAACTGGTTTTAACACACACTTTTATGCAAATATTGCAGGCAAATACTGCTCTTAGTGCGCAGCTCAGGGTTACTCCCATAATAAGCATATGCTTTCATGTTCTAACCTTCATGGCAGTGACTTCAAACTAACACAGTAGGCAGCATTAAATTCAGTGAACGTCAACAGAACCTCTCTCGCCTCTGCAGTGAAAGAGAAGTAAAAGCAGGAGAGAAAGAAATAGGGGTTTCCATATTGGAAAAGATAATTTCAAGTTCTATCTTAGGGAAAGGTCTCACCTACTTTGCAATTTCATCTTTATTGCTATCGCAAAATGGAACAAATTGCTGCATGACCCAAAGCAGCCAAAACATACAGTTTTCTTTCCACATCTAAGTTACCTCACAAAGAACAGAACAGCATTGTCACCTCTCAGAAACTCCTAGGACAGCTAGAGAGGTGTAGAAAGGGTATAAAACCTGGCATCTAGCTACCTAAAACATGGTATATTGCTCTTGCTATTTTTTTTTAAACCATGCAAGCCAAAAGATGTGAGTCATAACACTCATGTGTCATTACAGTGATTCATAAATACAAGTGCACACAATGCATTTATATAAACCACAGAAAAAGGATCTTCCAGAGAAACAGGAAGACCTTTCCTGAAGGCTGGGCAAAGCGTGTCCCAGTGTGAACAGACCAAGTGAACAACCAATGAATCAACAACTCTCTTGAGTGACTCAAGAGAGCAAATACAGGATACCTGGTAACGATACCACATCCCCATGCACTAGCAAGTGGGGACAAACACTTTCTATTTCTCACAGGTCACACCACGAGAACCTGTGGTCCAGTCCAGGAGAGAAGAATTTGCCAGACTCCTGTTATATTCCTGCCCTGCTCATGCATGGCCTTGAACAGGTTATTCAGCTTCTTCTGCCTCAGTTCCACAGCTGCTAAAGGGAGGGCAAAGTTATTTCCTTATTCCAGAAAAGCAGAAGCTGCGCAGAGACACCATGGTGCTGGGGTCAACCGAGTATGTGCCTTCGGGAGAAGGAGAAGAGTCCCGTTATCTGCTCGCTGGCCGGGCCCGGCGTGGCCTGTGCCCCTGCTGAAAGCAGCGCCCATCAGCTGCAACCACCCGGGAGCCCCGGGGAAGGAGAGCCCGGCACAGGG